TTTCTGACATTTGCAGCAATCTTGCGCAGGGGTAGCGTATCGGGCTACCTATTTTGTTTAACATCGTCAGCAGCAGTGCACACAGTGCAGATTCGGCCGTATAGTGCACGCTTGCAGCCATAAGTTGCATCGGCGCTTTTTTAAAACTAGAATTTTCCTTGACAAGGTCCGACACGACAGAAAGAGGTTTCATGTGGGTGGTGACATCACTCGCAATTTGAGATGATATTTTGCTAGTTGTGGCCATCAACATGTAAGCATCGAGCATCTTTTGCCTGCGTTCCAAATTTGACAGTACTGATGTCGGATTCTCCCACTTTCAATCAAAGACTTATTATTCGCGTCGGTCTTAAACTCAACTCATCCATCTGCACAGAAAGCAGCGTGATCTACATAGTTTCCTGCGTTGGCCTTGTTCGTCATGCTCGTAATGCCGACAACATTGTCAATGAGAATGTATTCTAGCACACGGCAATTGTATGGGCATTCATTCCGTCGGGAAGTGTATTCATATCACAGAGTCCTTGACGCGTATTTGCGCGGCACTTAGCCGTCTTCGTCGCACCCAAGGCTGTAGTGAACAGCTGTTGGGATACGAATACCACCAACAGTTTTGATACGGTGCTCGAGCATCTGTCTCTGTTAAGTTCCCACCAACAAAGGGCCCGACATTAGGTACGCTTAAGCTGAAATTACCATTTAAAGACAGGCACTCCTTTGAATTTGCTCCATCAAATTGATTGCACCGACCTCCGTCCATCGCCAAGAATGGACCATACTCTTCTTGATGTTCGGCTAAGGTTTCGTTCGTTTGAGCGAATAAATGTGGTAGAAAACGATGTACTTCATTCTGTTCTTTCGCTCACAGGCTTTTTTAATTTGGTACGTAACATCAATTTCTTCGGGCTCGGACGTACATCAGTACGCCTACGACGGAAGCAGTATTTGCAGTGTCAAGTAAACCACGGAATTGTTCTTCTGCAGTGATGTAATATATTAAGCCGAACGTATTGGTACTTGTGTTTCATATAGGCGCATCACTCTGCACTCGGGCATGCGCCATGTGGACGTGTTTCATGTGATATGAATTGGAGTAAGATCGTCAATCCACGCTGCTGCTTCGGATGATAAATTCACAATGAGCAGCATGATGTTTTTCTCCATGCTAAATTTACCTTTAAGCGAAAAGCGAGTCGGCTGGAGTAATCGCAGACTGCTTTGATGGATGGAGCATTCTGAAAGTGATTGAATGGTCTGTCGCCTATCATAGTACTTCATCACCGAGGGTCATATCGGGTTTTCTTGATTGTAGCTCGAGTTTTGAACAAAGACAAATGACAAGTCATATCTTGGTCAGACAAAGTTTACACAGTAGCAGCATTCTGAGCGTTATTTGATAAATCAACTGTAAGAAAACATATGAAGTATATTGCCTCATTGTTATATAACCTTTGGATATCTTTTGTCCAAAACGTTTAAGAATTATTAAAAGACTCTAGCAGGAACAGTAGCCAGAATTTAATAATCGGACAAACAATCATTAAAGCAAGAATTACTGAGTCGTTTTAATATTTTGTCGTATTGAGAGTGTAGGCTGGAAACAAAATATTCGGGAACTTTTTGCTCACGATGGAGAATTCATCAAACGAAATGACTCCGTCGCCGTCTTTGTCACCCTGGGACATTATCGTGTCCGCTTTGCGCGCAACCTCTCCCTCGCTAGAGGCCATGTGATTTGCCTTAAGAATTTTAATGAGTTCTTGCCGCGTAATTACCCCGTTACCATCTTCGTCAAATACGAGAAAAGCAAATTTAAGCTTATCCTCTTTATCCGCGCCCGTGAAGTTGGACAAGGCAATCATAAATTCTCGTACGTCGATTCGACTTACTTTGTCATTGTCAAAAAGCTGGAATACTCTTTGGCTTTGCGGCGATGGATCCACCTGCAAAACTTCGCAAAATTCGGAGTAATCGATCTGTTTCGATCCATTCTTGTCTGTGGCTTGGAATCGTTTGTAAGCCATCTTGATGCTCTCTGATCGAATGCCGTTGTCGCGTGCAAACTCGTCCAGAGCCATCTTGCGCTGATTACGCAATTGGATGGCCTGAGCACCTGAAGTTGCACCTGTCGGACCTGGGCCTTTTTCGGACACCGTCGTGGTCACGCCCAATCCAGGTGGCGGCTGGTTGCCTTTGGTTACCATGGCATAGAACTCGCCAAAACTTACTTGCCCATCACCGTCCTTATCCACCATTTTGATCATTTCATCAACTTCTTCGTCTGTGGGCGATTCACCAATGTTTATAAGAACGTGGCGAATTTCAGCAGCACCGACGTAATTGTTGTGATCAAGATCAAAAGCTTGAAATGCCTCCAAGATCTCTTTGTCAGTAAAATTGCCATTTGGATCTCGAGGCGGTTCAGTCGGTGCCAGAAGTGCCACACCAGGAACAGAAAAGGCATTCGATCCTGACGGATGCGGTGCCACCGCTGGACTGACGAGTACCGGGGATGTCATAGGAGGTGCCTTGACAGGCCCTAATACACTAGCTTCTGGCTTCGTAAATTTAGCAGCAATCAGCAACTTTCCAGCAGGGCCGCCATTGCGATCGAGCAGCTTGATAACTCCTTCAAAACCGCCCTTAACCAGCCACGGCACGATTTCCACTTTTGCTTGAGCCATAAACCTGTCATGTCCGCCCTTTTCTTCATCCCAAATTTCGACCACAAGCTCTTTCTCGGTTGCAATGTTAAATTCAAAATTTTCATTGAACTCAGGCGTCTTACCACCACTTCGCTGTACCTTGGTTTGTACTTCCTGTGTACCAATCGTGAGTTTAACGTACGGGTCTGCAGTGTCCATAACCCCAAACTTTTTTAAATCAAATGCACGCAAAATGTTCACGGCAAGCTTGCCGAAGCGAGGAGCGAGACCACCAAGCGGGCCCCGCAGTGGCGGGCCTCTTGGCGTTACGCCTGAAAATCCGAGAGGGCCACGCGATGGCGGTATACCAGGCTGGCCTTGAGGTGAAGCGACTGGAGCAAGAACAGACAAAATAGGGAGACGAATGTCACTCTTAGATTATTACAAGAGCAGGCCGTTGTCATCATACCTCCCGGCTCTGAGTCAGTACCTCGTACTACCTGGTTCGGTAAAGTGTCGCTTGGTGGCCCCGGCGGAGCCCGTGAAGCTAGCATATCTGAACCCTGATGTAAACCGCGAAATGTTGGCGGGTAACCCGGCGGCGGTCTTCTTGGCGGAGTTCCCTGCATTCGAGGAGGCATGGCTAATGGTGACATTCCTGCACGTGGCGGCATCCCAGGTGGGGGCCCGGATGGTCCACGTGGCGGCAAGCCAGGTGGAGGCCCGGGTGGTCCACGTGGTGGCAAGCCAGGTGGAGGCCCGGGTGGTCCACGTGGTGGTAAGCCAGGTGACGATCCTAGAGGTTCTCGGAATACCACTCCTTGAGATGGAACCATTCCAGCGAGTGATATTCCAGGTGGACGTAAAACTCCATTTTGTGCCATTCCGTGCGGTGGGTCGCTCGCAATTGCTGATAACTGCCCAGATGGTATATTCATCGGCGCATGAGATGCGCCGCGGAAATTTGTAGGTGATCCTACTGGACGTGGACCCCGAGGTGAGCCGTCTACTGTGTATCAGCGAAACGACATGTAAGTACTAGTATGCTGAATCAATGGGACTGTAAAAATAACAGCTTCAGCATACCAAGCACAGAACCAGACTGCATCCCGGCTAATGTTCCCCGGTTTAGTGGAGATCCTAAGGGTGGTCGGCCAGCAGATACCGAAGGTGGCGCACCTGGCTGGAGGCCTCGACCAGGTGCTTGACCGGGTGGAATCCCTGAAGGTGGGTCCCGAACGGCAGCTCCGAATGGCGAGATCCCTGGTGGAAGGTTTTGCACCGAAGCCGCAGGTGGTGGGCCAGGGGGTGGCCCTCGTCCTACAGCGTCAATCGTTATAAGAAATCGAGCAGTGCGACATATATATACGCAATCAACTAGTCAACTTTCAACCTGGCGTATCATGCGGACGACAAAGATTTTGTGAGACGGAATTCTAGCCACCAAACCAAACTCACCTCTTGGGAACCCAGGGGGTGGACCTCGTAGAGAACCGGCAGTCAGTTGTGCTTCTAGTGGGGGGCCTCGTCCTGAAGATAAAATATAGAGACTCTTAGCTTGGCGAAATACAACACCTACTACTTTCGGTAGCAAATATTTATAAAATATGGACCTGACGGCGCTCGCGCTCCTGGAGGCGCTCCAGGTGGTGGTCCGCGACCTGAGACAGTGAAGCACATAATTTCGAAAAGTCAAATACATCG